AACGACCATTTGCACCCTTACTAGGAAGTTTTCCTATTCCCCATGCAAAGGAAAGAAATGTTCTTCACCTGCTCTGCTTCTTTGCTGGCATAGAATCTCAATGAAAATGATATGAAGAATGTATTCATTGTCTGAATGAACGAGGAGAAGGTGTAGGGCATCCAAGAAAACGGTAGTCCAGTCATAGGCCTGTCATGGGGCAGCCAGGAGCTAGGTTTCTGCTGCTTGACCACAAAGGCCAGAACTAGCAGCAATGGGAAGATGTTGAGGACGGGCATAGTGAGCTTTGAGAGAAGGAAGAACTTCGAACTAAGAGTTGTCCTAACATTAATGAAGTGCTTCAAGGCAGATAGTGACAAGGGACAAAAGGCAAGGGGTGATTGAGAAATCAATCATACATTGGGAAAGTCTCAATGGGAGAAGTAATTGCTTTCTTCTCTCCAAGGCAGCAGATTTATCCCCCAACAATGTCACTGACTAATTTGATTTTCCCTTTTTGATCATGGGGAAAAAGAAAGAAGGAAGTAAAGCGGACCCAGAAGTAGCAGGTAATGAGACAGGAGTATAAAAGGGTCTACCAGGCCAGCAGACATCCATACTCAAGAAACTCACTCACCTGCAAACCATCCCCGAAACTCAATCCACCAACACCATGGTCAGCTCCTGTTGTGGCTCCACCGGCTGTGGCCAAAGCTGTGGCTCTGGCTGCTGTCAGCCCTGCTGCTGCTGCTACCCGTGCTGCTGTGTGAGCACCTGCTGCCGGCCCTGCTGCTGCCAGCCCTGCTGCTGCTGCCAACCCTGCTGCCGCCCCTGCTGCTGTGGGTCCAGCTGCTGCCGCCCCAGCTGCTGCACTTCTAGCTGCTGCCAACCCTGTTGCCGCCCCCGCTGCTGCCAGGTCACTTGCTGCAGAACCACCTGCTGCCGCCCAGCCTGCTGTGGCTCGTCCTGCCGCTGAGCTCTCACACCTACTTCTCACACTGCCCACCAGCCCCACCTCTTCTCAAACAGGCACCACTTCTTTGCATCCTCTCCTTCACTACCAAAAGACGATGTTCAGGACCAACCATGACAAACTGACCCACCTGAGACCCATTCGGAAGTGACAACCAGAAACTCACCATCCAACTCTCACCTCTCTCTTGCCTTTGTCCTACGTGGACGCCAAACTGTTATTTGATTTCAATCCAGCCACTCACACTCTTCGCTTTTCTCCCTAACCCCCATTGCCTTCCTGCCTGACCTCCAGCCACCACATTCTGCCCATTGAGAAGAAGAACGCTCTTGGCCATCTTCTTCACCCACACCGGGACTTGAATACGCAGATGCCAAAGATGTTCCTTTCTCAAATTCCCTGTCACCGCGATTTGCCTTTCTCTTAGGGTTGGTCGCATTCCAAATAAAACTTCATGGCAATTAGAAAACTCCAGCGACTTGGTGAATCCTTTCTTTTTCATGTGTCCTTGGTCGATGCCCGAGCAATTGTAAACAACACACAACTGCCCTTTCAGCAGCCATGAACTTGGACCCATGCCCCAAGGGAATATCGACTATCCTATACTTTGCAAGTCATCCTCCAGCCTCTGCACACTAGGTTTTTCTCCAATGATCATACACATCATCATTTTTTTTCTTTCTTTGCTAAGTCATTCACACACAAATGTATCCAATCAATGCCCCCATTAGTTTACTTCCTCTGTGCAGAGCTAGCCTTGTGATTTCTGTGACTTGCAGTGTTCCATGGATCACTTTGTCCAATGGTTGGGGCACAGCTGCAATAGACTTGGTGAATGGTCATTGTGGGATGAAGATCCTTCATCTGACCAATGAGGGAAAAAGATCATTTCACAGAGAACGAATTGTGATGTGGGAGGAAGTTGATGTTATAATGGTGATAAGTCATAATGATTATAATGCTTTTAACGCTAATACCACCTATGGACAAGGGGAAAGAGCCTAGCTCCAGATGTGGTCAATGTAGTATGGAGAATCAAGAGATGAAAACTATTATGACATTCCAAGCAGGCATCATTTCTAATTTACTCCCACTCTTACCTGGAAAATGCCATTGATGCCAAAAAACGCTTTCCTCACAGCAGAGCTTAGAACTAGGGTACGCAAGGCAACTGATCTGCCAAGGCACACCACTTATGGAAGGAGTGTGAAATTGGGAAAATTGTATTCTTCTATTAGTGCAAAATATCTTCATGCAACAAATGTTCACCTCTGATGCCATGTAGCGATTTTTTCGGGAATCATACAAACTTCATATGCTACCGTGGAGGGTAGGGCTTTGGATGGATAGCAGGAACTGAGGAATGAAGGAAAAGATGGTTTCTCAGATGCCCTGAATCTATGGAATTCTAACCAACAATTCAACTGCTGCAAACGTTTCTGTGCTACCTGCTTCCTTGCAGTCAGAGATATAAGAAAGGAGGCCCAAGGACAGCTTCACCCAGGGCCTGCAACTTTGGAATGGCATTGGCAGCACTAGAAAGCATTGTGATTGCCCAGAATGATGCCTTAAGGTTTGCCACGATAGCAACTCTAAATTCATCTCTACTCTCTTTCTCGATTGGACTATGGGCTTTTCTGAGGCTTTCGGAACTCATGCATTATCAATGGGAATAGGGCAGTTAATGAAAAAGATGCCCCATAGCTGGCCCTCAAATATCAATTACCTAAAATCAGAATCCACCAGGAGCTGACTCCCCTCTACCCACTCCCAGAGGCTGCATCCCAGATGACTTCCTCCCACACCTACCTCTGACTGGCTCTTGTGCTCTCTACACCGTGCCTTCATCTCCCTCAAAAAAGTCTCATGATATCTTGGGATCTCCACCCACGTGGGACAAGTGTCCAACAAGGTTTTTACATTCCTCCAACAGTCTCCACATGGCCTTGTCCCAACATCTTGGTGGCATCTTTTCTCTTGCTTTCCCTAGGTGGACTGATGCACCCAAACGGCAGCTTGTCTCTCTCTTGGCAGTGGCTTTTGTCGGTGTATGAGTGCTGGAGAAGGGATGAATACAGATGCAAATGTTTGGGCAATATTTTCAGTACAGATCGCAGAGCAGGTAGTAAGTCTGTGAATGTGGTGCATTGCCTTCATCAAAGTAACAAAGTTACATCTTTTCTTTCTGCTCAATTATTATGGCTTTGCAGATCAATGTCATTCAACAAGCTGGCATTAACTACCTCCTCTGTTCCCTTACTTAAATACCTCTGTAGTAAATACCACACTCTGGGGGACTCTGGCAACTCAAAGATAAAAACAAAGACTCTCTGCTCTTACATTTTTCCATTCTGATCTCGATGGATATCAGAGAGTCAGAAAACAGTATGCAACATTCCAAATATTTCTCCAACTATTGACAACACCGCTGATCATTCACCACCATTGATGGAACAAAAAATAGCAGTGGTAATCAATCATACCTCTTTCTTCTATTGAAAGTAACATTACTCTGTTCTGCTTCTGGGAGCCAACATGGTGGAGTGAAAAGGCAGTCACTCTCACTCTCACCTATCAACCTCTGAAAACCCAGAAAATATCACCCCAGAAAAAAAAAACCCTGGAACACCTGCACTAGAAGAAAGACGAGGAGCAGCAGTGCAGCAGCCCAGCAAACGGTTTTCCCAGTGCCTCAGCAAAAAATAAGGGAGGCAGAACTTCAAGGAGCCCCAGGGGGACAAGTATCCTGTGGCATTCATCTGAAAGGAGCTGAATAAAATAACATAAAGGCTTCCCAATGCCCTGGCCTTGCTCATTCCAGCCCAACACCAGGTGAGCTGTAGGAGCCCTGAAGCCTACAATTGTGAAGAACTCCTGAAGCCCAGGTGGTAGAGCAGGCAAACACCAACATCTGGACCTCCGAGTGCCTCAGTGAGGGTTGGGGGAACCGGTGGAAACCAGCTCAGGAAATCACCAGGAGTCTCGCCACTCCACTGCAAAGGAATCTCCCAACGCATTAGCAGAAAGGAGGGAGAGAACACTGCAGGGGGCCCCAGGCAGATAAACATCCTGCAGCACCAATGTGATGGAAATCGACTTGGCCCATGGTCTCCTCTTTAAAATGGAGAACAAACAGGAGGGAGGTAAGCATGGTGAAAGACCTAAAGTCCATGTCACAAGAGCACAGGTTGAAAGAATTGGGATGTTTATCTTGGAGGAAAGAAGATCAGGAGGGATACAAAATCTGTCTTCAAGTATTTAAAGTAATGTCATGGGGAAGTCAGACTTACTCTGTTTGGACACAAATGGCAGAACCCAGAGCCAAGGCAGGAAGTTGCAAATGGGAAAATTTAGCTCTCACGTTTGGGAAAATCTTCCAAACAGTTGGAGCTGCCTCAAAGTAGAAGGGGCTGCCTTGGGAAGTGGTAGGTTATTCCTCTTTGAAGGTCTTTAAGCAGAGGGACTAGATGGGTGTGGATTATGTGAGTCTATGAATTGCCCAAGTACTAAGAAAAAACACAAAGTAAGAAAGAATTAGCAAAGCCACTTGGCTTTGTGGCTTGTTTGTTTATTGCCAGGAAACCTCAGTTTTATTTGGAAATTGCCAGGCCTGAAGACAGTGGAAAATCAGCATAAGAGGGAATGTAGTAAGGAAAAATCTTTGGAATCTCAGTACTGAAATCTTAGGGTGAGATAAAGTCTAGCAGTGAACTTTCTTCTCAAACAGCATAATCTGGTGATTGAAAGCCAAAAGGGAGGACAAGAAGATTGGAGTATTAGGTTAGGGCTTGACCTGAGAAGCTCAACATCAAATTCAAAGTTCTTAACCACGCAAGAAGGAGAGACCAACAGAGAGGTGACAGTCGGCACTGAAGAAGGAACCTAAATAGCCAGCCACTGCTGAAGGTTTCCAAATGGGTCTCTTGTGATCAGCTTAGAAGTGGTGAACTATACAAACTCTACTCATACTGATTCACATGATTAAGAGAACTGATGTCTCCCAGGGGTGGGTTGAGGATGGTGAACAGTCATATGCTGGTCTGTACATTTAGCAGCAAGAGGAACCACAGCAGGCTGGGCGGCAGCAGGTGGTTCTGCAGCAGCTGGACCCACAGCAGCTGGGGCGGCAGCAGGGCTGGCAGCAGCTGGACCCACAGCAGCTGGGGCGGCAGCAGGGCTGGCAGCAGCTGGACCCACAGCAGCTAGGGCGGCAGCAGGTGGACACAATGCAGGTGGGCCTGTAGCAGTTGGTCCTGCAGCAGGTGCTCTGGTAGCAGGGAGGTCGGAAGCAGCAGCCAGTCCTGCAGCAACAGGGGGCACAGCAGCCAGAGCCACAGCTCTGGCCAGAGCAGGTAGAGCCACAACAGGAGCTGACCATGGTGTTGGTGGATTGGGCTTCTGGGTTTGTTTCCAGGTGAGTGGGTGACTTGAGTTTGAAAGTCCCCTGACCCCACAGGGCTCTTTTATACCATCCTGAATGGCAGCCATCACCAGTAATAGCTTATTTCCTCGTTATTGTTTAGCAAGAGGGAAAAATGACCCTCAATTTAGATAATTTCTGTAATGAGGGGGGGAAGAAACTTATTTCCTCTAACCTGTTACGATTCATCTACTTTTCTACAGATCTGATTAAATCCATATGACTAGGTCACACAGAATATCAGAACTGGAAGCAACCTCAGAGGCTATCTCCCCATCTATGTCTGAACAACATGCTTATAATGTGACTTCTTCTTTGAAATCAGGTTAGTTAGGGGCATCACCTCTGTTCATTTTTGTTTTCCTGCCTCCACCTTCTAGTCCTCATGTGATAGACAGCCCAGGCCAGCCTTTGATGTCACTCTGTTTTATCTATGTATCATCCTGTGACTCACAGAGAGATGTAGTTCATGTATGGTGAAGGCACCTTGGGAAGTGTTTATGTTCCTGGTAAATCGCCCCTTGTTTCTAGAGCTAAGTAGACTTGAGAAAAGTCTGGGTCCTCCTAAATTCTAATGCCTACCCTCTGTCCATGCTCTCTACATACCTTGTTTCTGCATTATTGCTTTTATGCTGTCTCTCCATTATTTCTACCCCCAGGGCCCAGTACTGTGTCTGGAACCTAGTAGTCACTTAACGATATATATTGACTAATTGACTGATATTCCATGTACAGTTAAAGCAATGATTGGGTACAGGGACAGGGGGGTTGCTCCTGGCAGTCCTTTCTGATTCACTGATGATCACTGATGGACAAGAGGGTTCAGCTTGATTGAGATTACTATTGGTCATAGAAACAATTAAAGATGTGACCTCCTTTCCATTTGCATGTGAAAAACAAATTTTCAAGTGGCTCTTGAGTGGGAGGAGGTGGTGGTGACATCAACAATGAATGAAGCAATTCCTCCAACAGAGTGAGCCAGTGGTGATGACTCCCTAGAGCCTTCAGGTATGAGCAAAGTGGGGCTGGAAAAGGACTGAATAATCCAGGTCAGAGGAGATCCGGAAGCTTTTTCAGCACTGGACACCAGCTCTTGAAGGGCTACTGACTTCAACTCATGGAGGCTGCTGGCAGAGATGATAGATGAGGATCACACATCAGTAAGACATCTTCAGAAAAAAAAATCTCAGGCTCAACACAGTAAATATGGATTCACAGAAGAGCAAAAGGAGAGCATTGGTAAAATTGCAACATGCTTGGAATTACAAAGTGCAGTTTTACAGTCTATGCTGTCTCAAGATTAACTTAAATAGGAGGACCTAAAAAAGCTAGAACCGATCCTAAAGAATAATATTACTTTTACTACAAGAAAATTCTCCTTTCATGGTCAGCATGTTCCACTAACAGTAATTTTAGTGCCTGGTGAAGAAGAGAATTTGAAATTCTAGGATGATGATGAAAAGGGTGGTGCTAGAACAGCATAGTTCATTTGCTTTGTGTATCACATAATTCTAAACAGTTGCATATTAAATTTGTGGGGTAAACTCAAGCAAAGCAATTCAATTTATCCTTTCGTGCTTTAAGGGAAATATTCTCTGCTTTCATCAATCCCCAGTTCTTTGCCACCACTAAAACAATTGCTATGAATATTTTTGTATGTATAGGTCTTTTACCTCTTTTTTTTTCATCTCTTGAGGATTAGAGTTCGTAGTGGTGTTGCTTGATCAAAGGGTATGCATGATTTCATGGCCCTTTGGCACAGTTACAAATTTGTCCACAGAATGGTTGAATCACTGT